AAAAGAGGCACATCATGAATATTTCCACAGTTGACTTTTCCAGCTGTATTAAACACTGACTGGTCCTGGTGAGGCTGCTTGACTTTCCTCTTGTTTTACCGTTGAAGTCATGGCTGGTGTTAGTCTGGTTAGTCAGACTCAGGTTAGATGAGTCGTAGAAATCCTGTGTTAGAAAAAACGAGAGAAAAGCCAGGGCGGCCACAGGAAACTGCCGTTTTGATCCAGCTGTTAATCCATCCAGTACCGTAGCTCCCTGATCAAATATTGACCTGCTGTCTGCTGACATGAGATCATCGGCTGTTTCATCAACGGTTCTGATTGTGTTAATTACACACCGTCTGTTCAGTTTGTCTAACTTATTGTCYTCTTGTGTTGCAGATTCGTGCCGTCAGACCTCAGGTTCTGATGAGGCTCTCCAAGACCAAGAAGCACGTGAGCAGGGCTTACGGAGGATCCATGTGTGCAAAGTGTGTGCGCGACAGGTGAGAGGGCGTTTTCTTCCTGAATCACGTCAGTGTTGGGACAGGTCAGAACTGATACAATGTGTGTACTTGTGCTGGTAAGACGAGTCACAGTGAGTTCTGTTAAGGTCTTTATTTCTGTTTTTCAGAATATGATTGTTGAATTTTGGTGATTTTATTTTCCCAGGATCAAGCGTGCTTTCCTGATTGAGGAGCAGAAGATCGTCGTGAAGGTGCTGAAGGCACAAGCACAGAGCCAGAAAACGAAGTAAAATATCTGTTTGTATTGCCACAATAAAAAAATGACAAAAACATCACTTTTATTTTGTAATTTCTTCATGTATTTGTTGACAGAATGAACAGGTTTTGTTTGGCCTTTGGTGCCTTTAGGTTAAATGTGTCCCACAGGATTCTGATTTAGTCACTTTATACTAAATAATAGATAAATATTTCAGCATTWAGGCCGATAAAAGCTTAGTTTGGTTTAAAGGAAAGAAACGTTTGTATTTAAAGGGAAAATGGTCAAATTATTTTTGACTTAAAAGTCCAAATTTTACAATCATTGCAACTCAGTAAAAAAAAACTGAATTAAAAAGTCCAACATGGGCTTTATGGTTTAATTTTAAGACTCATCACTGGAGTCCTGTGAAGAAAATGTGCTAATTTTCAAGAATCCCGTCGACTCGTCACTACTGGACGTCACATCAAGGCCTCCTATTGGCTGAGAGCCGCCTGCATGTCTGCTGTTGGCCAGGAGGAAGTGAAGGAAGCTGAGATCAGTGTTGGCGTGGCGGTTTGTAGCTGGCTGTGTTCTGATTGGTGCTTTGGTCTCTGGTGTCRGTGGAGACGGTCGGATCGTTGGCGTTTTCGTTGTAGTGACCACCGGCTGTGAAATCACAAATGATTAAACATTTAACAAATATCCAGATTATTTGTGTCGTTTTAAGGATCTCATAAACCCGTGATGTTCTTTTTACCTTCCTGGTGGTTTGTGTGCTGGTCCTGGTTTCTGGTCTGGTTGTGGACGGCACTGAGGTGACCTCAGACGGGTCCACAACAAAGATCCTGCAGGTCTCATCCACAGCAGAACCATCCATTTCTGGAAACTCATAATCCGGTGGAAAAGGTAAAAACTGAGCTGTTGGAGAGAAATCAGAGCAGTTAGAAAACTACATTCTGACATGACGAAGAGCTAAATGTGGCTAAACCAGCTAAAATTAACAAAACCACAGATAAAATGAGCATAAACCATCAGCTAGATTAGCATAACAAAAGCTAAAGCTATTAAAAATTAACTAAACTTAGTTATGCTAGCAAGACAGAAGCAAAAGGCTAAAATTAGCAAACCATAAAACTTAAAATGACCAAAACAGCTAAAAGCTAAATGTGGCTAAACCATAGCTAAAATACAAATAAAGCTTAATGTTGCAAAACTAAAGCTAAAATGAGATAAATTGAAGAAATTACAGTTAAAAGAATAAATTAGCGAAATGGTAACTATGAGCTGTGAAATGAACAGAACAACAGCTAAAGGCCCTGTCGCACAACTTATGAAGCATTTCTTATGTCTAAATTACTAATATACACCTTGGCCTCCAATGAAGATGGAATTGAAAAAAAAAATCAACAGGAAGCTTCTTTTCGGCGTGTAGATAATGTAATAGAAACAAATAGATCAAATATATAACTTTTATTTGCAATTTAGACAAAAAATGTTTCATAAGTTGTCTAGTGTGACAGGACCTTTAGCTGTTGTTCTGTTCATTTCACAGCTCATAGTTACCATTTCGCTAATTTATTCTTTTAACTGTAATTTCTTCAATTTATCTCATTTTAGCTTTAGTTTTGCAACATTAAGCTTTATTTGTATTTTAGCTATGGTTTAGCCA